CATCCGAAAGCCGTCGCAGACCGGATGACACAACCCATGTCAGTTTCCGTCACTAATCAGATATTCTGTAGCACCGACAAGAAGCTGATCTCGATTGGCGATTTTTGCACGGCCTGCGGCAAAAGTAAGTGCGATAGTTTGCGAGGCAGTCTATTGCCAGAAGCAGTTCGAAGAGTGCCCAAACTGCGCCGACTACTCCAAGTAGCCGCACGCGGCGCGCTAAAACAAGCTGTTGATCACAGTTGCGAAGCTGCTGTCGAGCGCACTGTCGACGCGGCCCGCCGCCGCGGCTCCGGCGCGCCAACTGTTGAATACGCTCGGCGCATACTGTATGTTTAAATGCTGCGCTCCGCTCTGCGGGAGCGGCCACGCGTTTTGCAAGGCCAACACCAAGTCTTCCGCGACTGCGATTTGGTTGTCGTCTGCTTCGGAGTCGTTTTGCGACTCAGTCGCGGTGCAAGCTTCGAAAACGCGATAGCTGTCGACCAGCTCGCTACGCGGACCGATATTTGCGCAGAGAACGTTGAGGCCTAAGCAGTTTTTGTACTTCGCCGGCGCGGCCGCGACGCGCCTTGCTTTGTGCACGAAAGGCTTGGAGTAAACGTCAGTGAATTCGCAGAGTATCGGCTCTGCTTCGTCCAGATTGTATGCTTCGGACGAAGGTCTGTCGTAGTGTTCGACTGATGGCGCCGTGAGGCCTGGCAAGAGCACTTCCTGCGAACGCTCGAACAGCGCGCAGTAGCACAGCGCACGTGGTGCAGTTAGGCAATTGAATCGAAAGTTGCGCCGGAGCGCTTGAGTATCTTCTGCGTGGAGTGTGTACGCGCTGTCGAGAAACCCGAGTGTGAGCGGAACGCTCTGATTCGTAGTCTCAGTGTTTGATTTGATTAGTGCGGCAACGATCGAGCCTAGAATACCGCTAGACAGTTTTGGCGAGTTCGTGTTTTTTAGTTTACAGTACTGCGCCAACGCGCGCGCAAGAGAGACATAGCTCACGTAGTTCAGCAGCGAAGGCGTCGGACTCACCGCGAGTGACTTCACAAACAATGCAGTCGCGTCCAGATAACGCCCACGCGCCGATTCACACAGGGCTGACGGCAAGACCGGCAGAGAAGACTCGTTCGGTAGCACTTTCAACAGAAACGAGCAAGGTGCAGAAACGTACTGGCCGCTGCAATTCGGAAGCAGAGTGAGTGAAATAGAATCGCGGACTGGTACTTCCAACACCGTCCCCAAGCTTTTCAGCGTCTTGACACCCAGCAGCGAAGGCTCCCATAAAATGTAGACGTGGTCGTCGCTTAGCGCGCCACGCTCGCTTTTTCTGGGCTTGGCCGCTTTACAAACTTTGCTGCAGAGCCGCAGCCGCTCATGCAGAAGCGTAAGCGCAAGATTTTCGTCGGTACTTCGTCGATCGTTCGGCGCAAAATGCGATGCAAATTTGCTGGCTTTCTTCAGCCGGAAATGAGCCATGACATCGAGCTCGCTGCGAGCGAATTGCGTCGGCCGCGAGAGGTACAGCACGTTCTTTGCGCCGTTCGTGAGCGGAATGCTGTAAAAAGCGTCTGCCCAGTTTTCCGCATTCGCCGTGAAGTTAATGGTTGAAGAGCACAAGTTGATGTAGCACACAATGTGCTGCGCGTTTTTTACGTAGAACAACGTCGGACAGAAAAACTCGACAGACTGCTTCACGAGCTCTGTTACCTTTTCAACGCGCGCGAAGTTCTCGTTTAGTTCTATTCGCTTTACGCAGTTGCCCGCGAGACACAAGGCGCGCGGATCGGCTGGATCTATGCATATTGCGCAGAACTTCTCGCTTTCCGTGCAGCAGAACTCCGCAAGCGAAATCTCGGCGGAGCGCGTGGCGTCCTGACGCAGCTGAAAGATCTTCAATTTGCTTTCATGAAGCGTGACGATCAGCAGACCGCCTACATAGTAGCAATCAAATCCTAAAACAGTGTCCTTCTCGTCGAGGCGCAGAACGTGCTGTTGGCAGCACCACGCAGTGGAATTTTCCATAGCGTGAGGGAACGCGTCCGCCGGCACGCAGACTTTGTAAACGCAGATCGCAGAATGATAGCGAACTATGATCAACTTCTCTGCCGCGTTCGAGTGGGCTTCGCAGAACGCTACGTCGCGAACGCGCCAGCCAAGCTGCGGCTGGAGAAACTGCTGTTGCACAAAGGTTCCGTCCGGCTGAAACAGCGATAGCAGCAGCAGTTTGCCGAACGGGTCAGTCATGGAGAGTAGTGCAACGCAGTGCTCGCCAAACACCAGTGTCCGCGAGCGAAAGCGCTGGCACTGCGGCGCGAAGTTGCCGTAGAGTTCCGCGCCACGCAGCTTCTGCCGTCTTTTCGCTGCCAGCTCAAAGTGCCAGAACGGCCACATCGAGTGCGGCTCTACAAAGAGACTCGGCAGCAGCGACTCGAACGAAAAAAGATTGAACATAAACGCGAGATACGTATAGTGGATTTAGTTGTTCAGAGCACCTGATCTCAGCATTTCTGTGATTGCGTCTACAGTCAGTCCGCCCGTCGGTGCATGATTCATCATGAGTCTTTCGCGAATAAAAATAGCGTAAATCTCCTCGTAGCTGTTTTGTCACGCGCCGCGCCAAACGCCGGCCACTTTGCGGCCACTGCGCCGACGAACGCGGAAACCGCTGTGCGCCGCCCGTTATACATCTTTTTACTAGTCAATGACATCCGGATCTGTGACCACGCGGTGGCGAAACTTGATGTTGTCTATCTGCTGCATTTCTTCGTCGCTGAGTTCGATCTGCTGGCATTTGATGTTGTCGCAAATGTGCTGCGGGTTGCCCGAGCGCGGCAACACCGTGAAGCCGCGCTGCAGCAGCCACCGCAGCATCACTGCGGTGTATGAAACACCGTGCTTCAATGCCACGGCGTCGAGCACGTTTTTCACTTCCGGCACGCTGACCGCGTCGTAGCGCGAGAGCGGGGTGTACGCGGAGAGAACTATCCTGTGCTTCTCGCAGAGCGAGATGAGTTCAGGATCGAGTCGGCATAGCACGCTGGCCTCAAGCTGGTTCACCATCGGCATCGTTGCGAGCTTGTCCCCCGCCGCCCGTCGCTGCAGCACGTTCTCAATCAGTGGCCGCATGTGCTTCAGGGTATAGTTGCTCACGCCAATCGCTCGGGCTTTTTTCTGGTGGTAGAGACGTTCCATGTGCTGCCAAGTTTCTGCGCGGTAACCGTCAGAGTTCATTTTGCGCAGCTCCTCCGGGTCGACCGGCTTGTCTGACCTCCAGCTTTCGGCAATGCCCGGCCAGTGCAGCAAATACAAATCCGCCGCTGCCTTGTGAAAGTTTCTAAGGTGTTTCTCGAGCACGGCAGAAAGCTTCGTGGCGCTGAAGTCGGTGGGCCAGACTTTCGTCGTCACGAAGAACGGCGAGGCGCGCTGTAGCGAGCCATGCGGCTCGTCGAGCGACGCGTAGTACTCCGTAACCCTGCGCGAGCGGAACTTATTCGTCGCCTTGCATTCGGGCAGTGCGGAAGCGAACTTCTTATCGTGCAGAAACTGGCCAACCAGCTCTTCGTTTTTGTAATAGTCGGCATCGTCGAAGCCGATGTAGCCGCACTCTACCGCCGCGCCGACCGCCGAGTCGACCTGCGTCCGTGAGGCGATCTGGTAAGTGCCAAACATGAGCGCCGGCATGAGACAGCCATTAGATAGTTCGGCGAAAAGCGCCTCTCCGTTCGATTCTTTGCTCTGCATCGGCGGCTCAATGTTGTGCGAAAATGTTAATTAGCACGAATTTTCAGCGTCGTGTTTCGTGTACTTGCACCCGATTATATATTAAGCGCGATCGCGATGCTCACGTAGTCTCTCGATGCTCACCTCGACGCGGGCTCCTCCTGTCGCGGCCAGCGAAGGCGCGATCAACCCTAGCGCAGCGCGCGACGCGGCCGCAAGCCCTGATCGCGGCGCAGCCGCGCTGCTCAATGAGATTCTCAGTGGGCTTGCAGAGTGTGAAGCCTGCGTTAGCGAGACACGCGCACTGCAGTCAAGTGCGACGTTCTCGCCGGTCGCCGACCGCGCTGCCGAGCTCGCCAAACTGCTGTTGCACGTGCCTGCTTCGTTCCACTCCAGCGTCTTTCGCGAGTATGTGCGCAAGCACCACGCTGTATTCTACGGCGACGCGCGCAAGCTACGCCGAGCCAGCACGTGCATCCAGAAAATTGACATATACACTGAGCGGTCGCCCGCAGCGCCGCCCGTCGCTTCGCCAGCACGCACCATCGGCGCCGCTGTGACTGCCGCTTCGCGCGAACTGTCAGGGTCGCCCGCAGCGCTGCAACCGCCCCGCAGCGGCGCGCCGGAACCGCCCGGCCCGAAGTACCGCTTTCACTTCGAAGTACCCAGTAAGTTCCCGGGCGTCTCTCTGTAGCTGCTGCCTCGCAGAGCCGCCGATCGAGTTTGCAGCAACTTTGCAAGTCGCTGACGGCTAAATCCGACTGAAAAAGGCTTGCATCGCGCTTGGCGCCCAGAGGTTTGCAGAACGTGATTTGATCGCTCCGTTGCAATTGTTTGCAAACTTAGCAACGCGCGCGAGGCTGAGAAGGTTTGTCGTTACAACAATTTTTGAACGAGTTTATATATACGATTAATTTGATCGCTCGTTTTTTATGTGCAGGTGGGGTTCCGATATTACTTATCCCAGCGAATCGGTTCTGTAAACCAGTGCACACACGAGGGCGATATAAAAATTTTGCTTGAGACCTGCAAAATAGGAGCTTCGGTCCGCATGCCGATTTTGCGAAAACTGCTCGGAGAGCGTTCACGGCACACGTCGGAATCAACTGCTACGTCGTACTCGCCGAGCTTCCAGGCGCCTGCGAAACTTCAATATCACAGAGCGCTGCGCGCGCCGGACTTGTTGCATGCGAAGCTCGGGTCGCTCGCGCGCTGCGCGTCGCCGCCGAAAAAGCGGCGCTTTCTCGCGCGCATGCGCCCGATCATGATCGAAACGACTTCGTCCGCGCGCTCGACAGCGGCGTCCACGACTGACACGCTGGCGACGATGACGCCGGCGCCGCTGCGCACGCGCGCCAAGCCGGCGCTGTTCACTTCGCCCGGCGGCACAGACTACATCGTGACTCCCGGACGGCACAAGATTCAGGTCACGATGTTCCTGGCAGACCTGGACCGGCAGCAAGACCTTCGGCAGCTGCCGGGCCCCGCCGCGGCGGGAGGCTACAGCGAGCTGATGCTGCGCTCCTGGCTCGAGCGCGAGGCGCAGATTCCGCTCGCGGTCTACCTGCTGAGCTTCAAGGAGAACAGCACGCTTGAGCAGTTTCGACTGATGGCGGTGCAGAGCGTGTTCAGCTATGCCGTGCAACGCAAGCTGCACGAAAACACGGTTCACTTGACCTGTCTGAACATCAGTCGACTGGTCTACTCGCTGTTCATCAAGACGCGCGCAACGCAGCTCACGCAAGAAATGTTTGCGAACATCGTGATCGCTTCGCTGCGAAACTCAGTGAAGATGAACGAGCCGTTCTCCAAGTCTAACTTGTTCCGCACGAACCCTAACCATGTGTGGAAGTACTGCCCTGGGCTGTGCCAGATCAACGCCACCCGGAGCCTGGAAAAAATCAACAAACTGGAAGTCGAGTGTCTTCGGCACCTCGAAAAACCGCCAAACCCGCCGCTGTCGCCCGAGTTTTTGGACCGCTACTTGGTGGTCGGCGGCTGGACGCGCCACCGAGCGCAGTACCGCGAGCTCGCGAGCTACTTGATCGGACTTGCGCTCTTCGCAAACACATACACCGCGAAGTTGCGCAGCATCCCACACAGCAAGCTCGCTGCCGGAGCGCTGGTGCTGGCGATAAAAATTATAAACACGGACAAGAACAATACGAAGTACGAATTCTGGCCGAAGCGGTTAGAGACCTACACCAACTTCACCTTAGAAGAAATCAAACCGGTCATTCGCGGCCTCTCCTACGTTCTCCGCAACAAACCGGCTTCAGTAAGTTGAAAACGCAATGCCGCAGAGCGAGATTCTCGAGAGCTATTACGGCAAATGGGGAAGCTACGACTGGAGCTAACAGCGTTTATTTGTAGTGTGTTTTTTAACACATTATAGATAAATTACGTAGCTTGAGCTGCGGCGCGAGCCGGGAGGGAGAAAGCTACTCGCGCGACGAGCGAAGCCAGAGCAGAGGCGATATGAATGCGGCAGATCTCCCGGAGTTTCCGCGGAAGCGCCGGCGCTTCGCGCCGGGCGTCAAAGCGCTGCGAGTAGGTTTGATCGGCGCGCAGGCAGGAAATTCGGCGCTACCAAGCGACCACGGAGTTGCTCATTCCGCGTCTCGCCTTCACGCGACTCGTGAAGGACGTGCTGCAGCAACTCGACGCTCGACTAGACTTGAAGTTCACGCCGCAGAGCATCCAGGCGCTGCAGTTTGCTTCAGAGTCGTACATCGTCGGCTTGCTGGAGGACTCGATGCTGTGTGCGTTGCATGCGAAGCGAGTGACCCTGATGATCAAAGACATCCACTTAGCTAGGAGAATTCGAGGCAGAAACAATTAACAATGAACGCCAATATTTGCGAGACATCCCGATTGATTTCTTGCAGTGCATAAATAGATCTCTTTACTGAAAAATTCCTCGTAAATCAATTTGATGCGTTGTCGACGTAGCGCGCTCGCGGCGCGCGGGGCACAATGAGCGGCGAGCAAAGGTTGTTGCACGAGCACGGTCGTTGGCTGGACCTCGCGTCGTTTGAGCGCGCAGCTGATGCGCTGCCCGAGCAGAGTTCTGCAGAGGCCGCGCTGCCGGTCGCGGAGAGCGAGGCCGTGGCGGGCACAAGCAGCGACGCGGAGCAGGCGGTGGACGAACGGTTTCAGAGACAGCCGCTGAACTTAGCGCGGTACAACGCGCGGATGGCGAAGGCGCTCGGCGCGGCGAAGCGCCGAATGTTGATGCGGTACAGAGTGAAACTGTTAAAGCGGCTGAGCGAAGTCGCAGGCGACTCGTTTTGGGCGCGTGTGCCTGCAAGCGTGTCGGACGAGCAGCTCGCGGCAGCCGTCTGCACTGCGCACGACCGCGGCACCGATGCGGTCACGGCGCTCAAGCCGGCGCAAAAGATCCAGCTTGCGAAATTTCGGACGTACGTCGAGGCGTTGTTGCTCGGCGCAGACTTTGCGGAGGAAACTCGCACTCGATTCCTGAATGCCGAGCTGCTCAACGCTTTTTGCGCGTGCTACCGCCGCAAGCACTCAAACTGCAGTGGATTGCGTGCATTCGCTGCTTTGCTGAAGCACCGGGGCTGCAAGCTGCGACTTGAGCAAGGTTAAACTAAAATAGGATAAAAGCGTAAACTAAGTGCATTCGCGAATCAGCAGCCGCCGCGCCGGACAGCGCAACGCGCTAGCGGGAGTTGCCGCTGCTCTCAGAACTCGTGCTGTTGGATCTGCGCACTCGGCTGCTAGAGGTTCGCTTGGTGCTGCGGTTGCGCGTTCTGCGATCGTCTTCTTCAGAGGAGTTCGAATTGTTGCGGCGCAGATTGCGGCCGTTGTTGCGGCGGCCATCTTGGCGGCTAGAGCTAGAAGTGCGGCGGGTGCTGGAGCTGCGAGACTGCGTGCGGCGACCGTCATTTTCGTCGGACGAAGTCGAGTTGCCGCGGCGCAGGTTGCGGCCGTTGTTGCGGCGGCCGTCTGATTCATCGGACGAAGTCGAGTTGCTGCGGCGCAAGTTGCGGCCGTTGTTGCGGCGACCGTCACGGCGACTTCGGCTTTTCTCCACAGTGCCGAAAGGCGTCATGTCGTCGGGACCTTCAACGTAGTCTGACTCAACGTCCGAGTTTGACTCGAAGCTGCTGCCTCGGCGGGTGCGGCCAGTGGTTAAGCCGCTATGCGCCAAGCCAATAGCGTCGAAGACTTGCTCGATTACCTCACGCACGATGTGGTCTCGTCCAGCGTTGTTTTCTTCGTTGCCAGACTGCATAGATCTCCCGTTGTATCCTTCAGGGTTGTTGTTGGGCATGTTTTAGATTTCTCGCTCTGTCTGATACAATCAAATTTTTTGTAGGGACAATCCCTGCATCTAGATATTGGAGGCGCTCATTAACTTGTTCACAAAATAATGTTCCGTACACACCAGTGTGTTCGCCAAAGGCGTCGAGCCGACTTGCGAGGGATAATTTGTTAGCCAGGAAACGAGAAATTCTGCCTTTGTTTCTAGCGCTGGCCTTTGATACTGCCGACGCATGATAAATGAGTCCGTATTTTGGGGTGGGACCTCGCGCCTTTAAAGCGCGAAACAACGCCTTTTCCGCGCCCAGCAGCTGCACCGTGCTAGCGGGAAGCTTCGCCAAATTCAGCAAGCCGCCCGAGTGCGACATCAACTTGCAAGCAATCGAGTCGCCAACGAGCGCCTTCAAATTTGGCGCCACAGAGCTCATTATCGACGAGAAGTAGCCTGACAAATTCGAGCGCGTCGCAGCCCAACCGACGATCTGCTTGGCGATGAGAAACATGTTTTCCGCGTCTTGCTCCGAAATTTCGCACCCGGCCGACATTTTCACCAACTTTTCAATTCTCAGACACAGGTGCTCGTCGCCGCTGCAGACCGCCAGCAGTGCGTCATGCTGCTCCTTTACATCGTATTTCAGCCGATCGCGAATCTGCAGCACGAACTTCGCGTACTCCGCGTTGCCTTCGACGAGCTTGGTTAGCTCCGGGAAGTGCCAACCGTACCATTCCTTCAACCGCATTCCAAGCTTGTTGAGCAGCCGGTCGTTGGTATCCAGCGCTGTCACAGCCTGCGAGCAGTGCTTGTCTCGGTATAAAGAGTCGTCTGAGATCTTAGCACGCGAAAACGAATGCGCCAGCCCCAGCTGGAACTGCTTGAGCGACTCCTCTGAAACGGAATCGACTAGCTTCGTGAAAAACAGCCGCAGAGTGCGGATCAAGTCGAAGGTGCCTTTGTCGTTGACGACCTCCACATCTGTCTTTACGGCGATGTCCTTTCCCAGAGCGGAGTCGGCGACCGCCAACGCGGCTTTCGTGCGCGCAGGCCCGATGACGTCTTTAACGAAGTTCATAAGATCATCCGAGCAAGCGCCAGCGGCCACGCTCTTCAAATTTTCAAGTGCCATCTGCGAAGTCGTAAACGGGAAGAACCCGGCGTTCTTCACAAGAGCTAACAGGTTGTGGCCCTCTCCAATGTCCGCCAGTAGTTGGTCAGGATTCACAGTATTCCACTGTTTCACATAAGCAAGACAGTAACCTGCAGCGCTTTCCACCAGTAAGTACAAGTGCTTTTTCGCAGATTTCGCCATAGCCTGCAATTCGAATATTTATTGAGTAATTGAGAGTCTCTTTATTTGGCCGCTTAAAAAGCCCGCAGCCGAAGCGT